CCCCAAAACCCCAAAACCCCAAAACCCCAGAAATGCTCATTATTTCAGAATTTGAAGATTTCAAATTATTATAAATATATTTCAAAATATTTTTAAATAATAAATGAAAAAGACTCTATACTATAAAATTTTGGGAGGTTTAGGCATAGGCTCTGCAGCTTATTATCCAATCAAGATCTCCAACACAGACTTCTATTATCAAAAGACTGAGGAAAATGAGAAAATTCTTAAACTCTGCAGTCAGCATTTGAACAAATATATGCCTTCGTTACATTTACTACCTCATGGAGCTTTCTAAGTAGTCTGGAATTTAATAGCAGCAAAAGATAGGCATTACAAGATCTAGTATTAAAGAGATGTACTTACTATGAGCGATGGAGGCAGTATTTCAGTTGATTGGGCATATCCATCTGATGAAGATTTGTAAGATTAAAAAGAAACTAAAATCTGCATGATATTTCCTGGGTTAAGCGGTGATAGCAATATAGGCTATGTCAAATGCCTAGTTAAGCATCTTACTTAAGAAAAAGGATATATAGTAGGAATTTTTCATAACAGAGGTATCGATACTGAGTATACATCACCACATTTTGCTGATATTAGTAGTTCAGAAGAAATGGATGTAGCTCTAAAGCATATGATTAAAAAATTTTCAGACAAACCTAATCCTCGCTATGTTGGAGTGGGAATGTCTATGGGTGCTAATCTAATGCTAAAAATAGCTGGTGAGTAAGAGGACCGTTTCCCACTAGAGGCTATGGTTTCCCTTAATAACCCATTTGATATCTGGCTTGCAATCAATCTAATGAGAGGGAAACCTTACGAAAAATTTCTAGCAATAGAATTAAGAAAAAACACCTTGATAAAAGAAGGTGTTTCTGATAAAGAACGAGAAATCTTCAAGGAAATGCAATAGAAATATAATTTGGACTATGAGAGACTTAAAACTGTAGATTCTTGGAGAGACTTTGATGCTCATTTCACTCTCAAGGTTCATCCTTAATTCAAATCTGTAGCATAATACTATTATGCGGCCTCGTGTTTCAACGTTATTTAAGGAATCAAAAAGCCAACTTTGGTTATTCATTCAAAAGATGATCCTATTATACCAATAGAATGTTTGCCATTGGAAGATTGCATAGCAAATGAGAAGTTGATAATGGGCATAGTCAGAAAAGGTGGTCATGTTTGCTACTTTTAGGGTTTTAAGGGCCAAAAACGCTGGTATCCGCAGGTTAGCAGTGAGTATCTCGAAGCAGTTCTTAGCCTTAAAAATGAATCTTAGCATGAATCATAAGGGTTATCATTCAACCGCCGAGTTGCAATCTGATTTGATGAACAAAATTTAATACTATATAAGTCGATTTATTTGTTTTAAAAACATAAAAAAATGTAGAATCCATAAATTTTAGAATATATGGGGTTTTGGGGTTTTGGGG